ATGTGGTGCTCGAGCTCAACACATGCCATTTCTACAGTTCGCTCAACAAAGAGGCTAACAATATCCTTACGTTCGTTCACGCGTTTTCGGGCTGTCAGGTCGTCTATACCATAGTAAAAACAGAATAGTAGGATACCTCCCGCGCCGGACGAGACTTAAATGCCTACTGTTGCAGGGTTGCCACTGTCTTTTTATTTAACAGCTATTTTATTTAACAGTTATTTAGACTTCTTCTTTTTATTTAACAGTTATTTAGTTTTAAAAATAGTTATAATATTTACAAACATAATACGTGCGTACGTACGTGTTTATGCATCATATTTGTTATTCATTTCTTTAGTTTCCTCTCAAAGAAACAATGTTTGTCAAAAACAAATTCCAGTTTAACATTACAACTAATGCCAAATAACTAAAATACGAGTAAATTAACACTGAGCATATGGTGTCAGCTCAGATTTAATGTTTAAAATTAATTTGATGTGATGTGATATGATAATTTAATGTACTTATGAGATATGTATTTATGTACAGATATGGTAATATAACCTAATAATAAATAGCTAATTTACTTAAACTAACCTATATTTTAATTTATTTTACAAAGAGAAAAAGTAAAACGAAAAAAAAAAGACTGCTAGCAAAATTTTATTAAAAGTCAACAAAGGTGATTGCGGGGCGCGGCGGTGGCCGTCCACGACTCGGCCAGACCTTTCCGACTTAGCAAGTGTCGTTGTGTATGTGCTGTGGCTCGTGCGTACGAGTCCGTACTATCACGTGCCAGGCACACCCACATATTAGCGGCGTTCGGTACATTGCTTAGAAGATAGCTTACTATAACAGAAGTTTTTACTATGTCTATACGCCAGTATATTCTAAGTATATATAAGTCGATCGTCGCTTGAAGTTAGAATATTAGGTAGTGGCAAGGCCGGTCATTCGGTATTCGGCCGAATAGGAAAAAGTAGCCGAATAGACAGAATACCGAATCATAGCCGAGTATTCTTTGCAAGTATAGTGTCAAGCACGATTATTCAAGTTGTAATGGAAAATTTAGTTCCACGGAGTGGATACCTGCCTAACGTATTTGTCGAATTAAATTTGCACACAATCATCATCATCATCATCATTACAGCCCTTCACAAGTCCACTGCTGAACATAGGCCTCCCCCAAGTAATGCCACAAAGCACGGTCCTGAGCCACCTGCATCCATCGACTTCCTGCATGTCTTACCAGGTCGTCACTCCATCTAGTGGGGGGTCGCCCTACACTACGCCTACCGGTACGAGGCTGCCACTCAAGAACCTTTCTTCCCCATCGGTTATCGGTTCTTCGAGCTATATGGCCGGCCCATTGCCACTTCAGCTTACTAATCCGTTGGGCAATGTCGGTCACTCTGGTTTCACTGCGAATATCCTCATTTCTGAGTCTATCACGCAGTGAAACTCCGAGCATAGCCCTCTCCATAGCTCGCTGAGCGACCTTGAGCGTCTTCATACGGCCAGCAGTGAAGGACCACGTCTCAGATCCGTAAGTCATCACTGGCAACACGCACTGGTTATACACTTTAGTTTTTAGAGATTGAGGTATACCTGACGAGAAGATGTGTCGTAATTTCCCAAACGCTGCCCAGCCGAGTTGAATCCGTCGATTGACCTCTTGGTCGAAGTTGGACTTACCTTGTCGGACTATTTGTCCCAGGTAAACATACTCGTCAACAACTGCGAGCATAGTGCTCCCAACAACTACCGGCATAGGTGTGACATGGACATTAAACATGATCTTTGTTTTGTCCATGTTCATCTTAAGACCTATCCGTTGGGAGACACCATTGAGGTCATTGAGCATGGTGCTAAGGTCCTCCAGCGATTCTGCCATAAGGACTATATCGTCGGCAAATCGAAGGTGAGTGATGTACTCGCCATTGATGTTAATACCGTATCCTTTCCAGACCAGTAGCTTGAAAACGTCTTCCAACACAGCGGTGAAGAGTTTCGGGGATATAACATCACCCTGTCTTACACCTCTCTGCAGTTGGATAGGTTTCGAACTCTGGTTCTGTACTCGGATAGCCATCGTAGCCCTACTGTACAAACACTTCAGCACTTCGATATACCGACAGTCAACTTGGGACCGCTGAAGGGACTGTAGCACCGCCCAAATTTCGACGGAATCAAAGGCTTTCTCATAGTCCACATACGCCAGGCAAAGTGGCAGATTGTACTCTTCAGTCTTCTGTACAATCTGCCGCAGGGTATGTATGTGGTCTATGGTACTGAAGCCTTTTCGGAAACCGGCTTGTTCGGGAGGCTGGAAGTCGTCGAGTCTGCGTGCGAGACGATTCGTAATGACTCTCGAAAACAGCACGTAGACGCGGCTCAGAAGGGAAATCGGTCTGTAGTTCTTCAAGAGAGCGTTGTCTCCTTTCTTAAAGAACAAGACCACCGCGCTTCTGCTCCACACCTCCGGAGTAGTGCCACCATGGAGGACGGAATTGAAGAGCTTCTGAAGGACTTCAAGTACCGGTGTTCCACCCGCTTTCAGAAGCTCCGCTGTAATTCCATCCTCGCCCGGGGCCTTGCCGTTTTTAAGGTGGTGGAGAGCCATTCTAATCTCGCTCAGACTGACGTCCGGGATATCATCAGAATAGTGTCGGATAAGACTTGCTCTTGGATCGTTACTCACACTTGCGTGTGGCTCCAACGATGATGTGTACAGCTGCCCATAGAACCTCTCAATCTCACTCAGAATCTCAGGTGTCCCGGAAACGATGTTGCCACACTCAGTCTTCAGCTTTGACAGTTGGCTCTTTCTGGCAGACAGATCTCTGGCAAAGACTTTGGAGCCCTGGTTCCGCTCGATCGCTTCTTCAATACGAGCAGTATTAAAGTTGCGTAAGTCTCGCCGCATGCATTTGGAGATCTGTCTGTTCAGTTGTCTGTATGCTGTCAAATCTGTTGACGATTGCAGCCTCATCTCCCGTCTAACAGCCATGAGATTAAGAGTGTGATCGGAGAGTTTTTGTGTTCTTCTGCGGCGGGTCTTGCAGAACTTAGCTCCGACCGCATGGACAGTTTCCACGAGCTTGTCATTCATATCGTCCACTGCATTGCAATCCTCTAGGCACTGAAAGCGGTTTTGTAACTCGAGCTGAAAGGTTTCGGGATTCTGGATTAGAGCACGAGGGGGACGGAGCGTTGACTTCATCAGACGAGACCTCTCCAACTTAACGTTTAGGTTCAGTGTGCCTCTAACCATTCGGTGATCGCAGAGTCCCTCTTTCTCCATAAAGTCGGCCAGCTGCTGGCCCCTTCGGTTCCGTTGCCCTTCTCCAAATTTCCCTACCTTCAGCTCACCGCTTTCTCTGGTGCCTAGTTTTGCGTTGAAGTCTCCCATCAACACCGTGTAGTGGGTTTTGGAGGAATGTATGGCTCTGGAAATATCCCCATACATTTCCTCCACCTCCTCATCGGGATGTGCCGAGGTTGGTGCGTAAACCTGTATGACCTTCAGCGAATACCGTTTGGTGATTCTGAGTATCAGGTATGCGACCCTCGTCGACACACTCCCAATTTTTACAACGTTGTTGACGAGAGACTTGGGGACGATAAATCCGACACCTCCTTGGGACAGATGGTCGCCCTCCCGGTGGTAGAACAAGTTGCCGGTCTCGAGGATTGCCGTGTCCTCCCCCTCTCTTCGGACCTCGGATAATCCAATAATATGCCAGCGCAACTTGTTTACCTCTTCTTCCAGCTCCTGTATCTTCTCGTCAGTCCTCAGGGTGCGTGCGTTATATGTTGCCAGGTCGAGTCGTCGTAGGTGGCAACCGAACCTCCACCGGAGATCTTAGCACCCCCTGCCCCGCCTTTACCATGGTCGCCACCGTAGCCAGGAATAGCGGGGCCCCCGGGGACTGGGGGCCGTTTTTTTGCGTCGTTATTCATGGGGGGATACAACACACACAATATAACTATATATATATATATATATATATATATATATATCCGTTTCTAGATAAATTTGAAGATAAAATGATGGATATGCCTCCGAAAATACATTTCAGTTTCAATGAGGTTGGTTTTCACAATGACAAAAAAATGAAGTAATGTTCCCCGTTAGAAAATAAAAAGAAATAAATAGAAGTAAGAGTAGAGCTCTGAAATCACATTCGTTTGAGCAATATAAAGTTCGATACGGGCGACATGCTGGTTGAGTCCGTTAGTCTGGTCAAAGTGATGATCTGATAATAATTGCTCTACGATGAATGTGTAGTGGGTTATACTGGTACATTGTTGTAATGCTCTCGGCCTCCTTCAATTGCGTACACTATCACCATCATCTAACATCATCATCACTACTCCCAACAACACAACTACAAGGAAAGACACACAAGTGTTTTGCCTCTAAACGAGGAATTATCAAGAGAGAATAGACTCGACGATTGCTGACCGCTTAGTGAGCGGTGTTATTATTATTGTATTTTTGACCGCGATTAACGTACAATAAATACAAAATTATTTTCTATGATAATAAAGATTAATATCCAATTCGTAACCATCCGAATTAATTAAATACAATGATGTGTCTTACCTGGATTGAATAGCACCTCCCGCCCTCCCTCAATTGCGTGCACTAATCCCGCCAGCCCGCCACCACTAGTCCCAGCACCACCGGGATTAGTGCAGGGAATTGAGGGAGCGCGGGAGGTGCTCTTCAATCCAGGTAAGATACATCATTGTATTTAATTAATGCGGGTGGTTGCGAATTAGATATTAATCTTTATTATAATGAATTTCCGCAAAGTAACGCCTGATTCTATCAATTATTTTCTATGATGTTGACTAGCCATTAAGATGCAACGAAACCACCGCTATCTCGCCTTAAGTTATGTGTTGTGCTGGAGTTGTGTGCTAAGCATAGTTATTATTCCGTATCAAGTAAAAGGCTTGTGTCTAAATTTAAATGGATGGTAATATGATAGAAAAACCAATTATTATACCTTGAACAACGACAGTCTGCAGAAATATAACGGCGAGCGCTGCTAGTGTCGCCAGGCCAACGTGCTGCCACACGAGATACGATACTACTGGTACCACGATCGGCATAACCCATAAATAGTGCAAAAATTGAGCTGCTGTGTCAAAGCGGTTAACATCATTTGACATTAAATTTATCACCTGTCCGGGCTCAGTTTTACCCAGACCAGAACAATTGAGTTTCAATATCTGCAATTAAAAAAGTTGGTATTCTATTGTACTAAAATTTAATTTGAATTTATGTAACATATTTTTTATGAGATCATTTATGAACTGACCTTTCTATACAGTAAAGAGCAGCAAGCAATTCTTACTCTCATTCCAATACAATATTGAGTCAATTGTAGATGATTCATCATAAGGGATGTTGAAATACTTAAGAAATTCATAAGAAAGTTATTAATATGAGCATTTCTGTAATTTTCTGGAGTCTTTTCATCGGAAAAATATCCAATAAATAATGCCAGAGTGAAAGGAATTAATGGCCTGAAACAAAAATGCAAGTTCATTTATTTTATTACTTGTTAAAATTGATTAATGATAAAACTTTAAGGTACATAATATGTACATCATGTATATGTACATCAAGAAACCTACATTGAACTATTACCTTACAATCACTATTTTGTATTTTAAGTAAATAACAAGAGTTTAAATAAATATAAACGAGCATAATATCAAACACCACGATCAAACTACATCTATTCTTAGTAAAATAAAATAAAATCAGACTCACCATAAAACAACATATAGTATGCCAATGAAAAACCCACATATCATGTATTCAAGCCAAAAGGACCTTAATATAGCTTTCGTAAGTGAAGGTTTTGAGTCTTTGCGACGAGCGTTATCAAGTTCTTTTTGCCACGCCTCTTCCAAGCGATCGCCAAGTCGCCCTGAGTGATCGCCATCACGCGCTTGAAACAGATCTTCAATTGTAAGGCCTTGTTTATATCCTTTACGAAAGAGACCAAAACACCACCTATAAAAATATACTATAAATAATATTATTATACAAATTTTTAACCTAATTATTAAGTATAACAATTAAAATAAACATAAATTAAAAAAGTAAATTTAATTAAAGAAGAAATAAATAGATGTGACTGCGATTGTACACCGCCGCCTTCACCTTGACCTCTTCGAGAGCGAGATTATATCTGGCCAAGATCTGACGTGACGGCGATCGTTTCTACACCAATACGATCCAGGTGATCAGGTGATTCAGACAGTTCGTTGTAGCAGTCGTGCGACGGCGCTGTGCGACGTCACGGCGCCGCGCGCTAGTGTGGATACGGACAAGCGGCTATAGTACCGAAATGTACCGTCATCTCGTTCTCGTTGACGTGCCGGTGACGGCAGCGGTGGACAATCGCTCCGAGGGTAGATCATGGAACCCTCGCATGCAAACTCTTTTGTGCAATATAAAGTTCATCGCGAGTAATTCTACGAGTCTTAAGCATTTTCGTGATTTTGTCCGCTGAGATAATTTCTAGCACTAGAAAAGGCCATGTTGCTGAGAGGCTGCCCTGTATTACATTAACATAAGCAGTGCTGCTGTTGATTAACATATTTAGTCTTTCGAAGTCTCACCAATGTTAAGACAGCTAGATTAGTTTATGTTAGTTACTTTCATAGCGTAATGTCACGGTAATATTATCTATACAGTATTCCAACTTCATACAAACGGACGAAGCGAGAGCTATGCCTACGCGCCTCGATCTCGGCATGCGCTCGGCATGCAGACAGTCGAGACATAAAAAAATGGAGGAAATAAATAATAGAATAGAATAATAATAGAAATAATAAAAATGAACTTCATTTAAAAACAAACATGTAAATTGTAAAGTAGCTGCAGGTATCTATAGCCAATTAAAAGATACTATTCCTTTTCTCCACGTTGTCCATATTTCCCAAAACAATTTTTAATTTATATTATATTTAGATTTATATTAGAAAACGAATTTTTTATATTTAAAAATCTAATAATAAAGCATTTCGTAAGTCTCAGCCGAGGTGCAAATATTTTTCGGTCGCAAATTTATTTAACCGATTTGTTATTTAAACATAAACATGGTTTTTTAATTAAATCTACCAATCAAAAAACGACACGCATTTTTATTGAACACTTCCTATTCAATTCACAAAGTACCTATTTTATTTGTTTATATAAAAAGTATATTTACAATCATAAAACTAAATGGAAACACAAAGTAGGCAAATCTAAAAATGCTGGAGGCAGGTAGCCCTATCACATGTTTACGTGCCGACCGGCTGTAGGCATTTATTTGAAAGATACGGCCGAGTTACAATACTGTATAGATAATATTACCGTGGTAATGTCTTATGGAATCTCGCCGTGGGGTAAGCGACTGATATTGAAGTCATATTTGTATTGCAAAAGAGAGCCCTACGGGCGATTTATAACTTAAATTGTAAAGAGCCCTTAGAGAAACATTTAAAGAAATAAACATATTAATTTTGGCATCGCAATATATTTATGAAAATGTAATGTATGTACATAAAAACATAAATAGCTTTCCTAAGAATAAAGATGTCCATACTTTAAAAACTAGGAACAAACATAAGCTTGTAATACCAGTTACTAGACTCCACAGAATTAGTAATTCATTTATGGGGCAATATATACGCTATTATATACTTTGGTTGCGCGAAAGTGACGAAAGGTATTGCGGGTCAAACGATCAAGTAAACTGTATTAGCGTGGTTCAAAAGGAACCAAAAAAATGGCGGACGTGGCACGTGGCGGACTTTGGACAATAAACTTGCTATGAAATTAATTTATTGCGTTGGCCGGCACGACGGGATATGAGCTGTTGCGGAAAAGGAACAACAAATAAAAGAGCTCTTGAATAAGAACGGGTACTTTCTTCGGAAAGCGGCCAGCGACCTCTCCTACGGCCATGCAGGCACGATGAAAATTGCGAACTGTTGTCGACTTGTAGAGACGACGAAAATGGTATTCCATTGGGGCGAACGGTGGCGGCGCATGTCTTTTTACAGCTTCCACCATCTCCCCTTCCACTTGGCGGAGCACGCCTCCCATTGGAGGACCAAAGATGTGTCCACCTGTATATAGCTCCCCCCCATTAGGTAGGCCCGTGCGGGGAAGGAACGGAAGTGAGGGAGGTTATGCCGGCCAATACAACTAACAAACTACATCATATCAACAAATTCGAAAATGCAAGCGTGTGCGTTGGCGCAACTATTTCCCCCCGGCTTGAAGGGTTCCCTTCAAAACTAACTAAAGTTACTACTAAGACATAATTTTAGCTACTAACCTAACCTAGAAAAGCAATGCGAAAACTATTAATTAGGTAAAGGACAGAGACGTACAACAGGACGCAAATATTTTCCAATCACGGTCTTAATACGTGCTATCCTCGTTACTTCATCGGATCCACGAAAAACCTCTTTAACGATTCCTAATGATCAATGAAGAGGCGGCGCGTTCTCTTTAGTGAGAATAACTACAGTTCCGATCGTTAATGGGTTAACTGCTGTACACCATTTCTGCCCCGACTACAACGTATGCATACATTCCGTCCACCAACGCTTCCAAAATGACATCACAAGCTTGTCCAATAAGTCATGACGTGAAAAAACATGGAGTTTATTATCGTACATATCTATAGCGTGTAAGTATTTCAAATGTGAGATTTAAAAAATGTTGCGGAGTTAAAGCTAGTGGCTCCGAGAGGTCACTGGATAGCATACGGTATAAAGGGTGGCTACTCATAACGCACTCGGTATTTGTGCGAGTACAGTGCAAAATTTTTCAAAATAAAAATTTAATCTCCGATCACGCGATATAAACGACTCTTTAAGACTTTTAATATTGGCCTCCTAACTTTTCCCAAAATGACTTGCGACGCCACTCGATGCGGTTTTCAGCCAAAACATGCGCGGACTCCGAATTATAATATTTAGAAGTTAAAAACCCGTGTAACTCCGATAAAATACGTTTTGCTCCGACATACTTCGTACCATTATCTGAGTACACTCTACCTACGGGCCCGCGACGTGAAAGAAATCATTTAAATGCACCCATGAAGCTAGCCATGCTTAGATTACCGGCGAGCTCTATGAGTACAGTGCGAGTAGTCAAACATATGAAAATACAAACATACGCCTTCATATACTTTATACGCCAGCAAGTACAACCTCAAACGGGCCAGCGAAATTCGAACCAGTGTGCATAAAGGGCTTTGCGGATTGTGTTACACGACAGGACCTATGGTCCGCCATTTCTGGAAATGACGGCCTAAAAAGGAGTAGGCTCTTTTCTTGAAGGTCCATAAGTCGTATCGGTCCAGAAAAATCTCTGATGGTAGTCGATCCCACAAGGAAGTTGTGCGAGGAAGAAAACTTCTTTTAAATCCCACAGTGGTGGACCGCCAGTCATCCAGATGGTATGGATGGTATCGCGAGTAAAATCAAAATTAAATATTAGATATAATAAATACACACAAGAAGTTTTTCTGTATGTTAAAAGCAAATTAGTACCTTATGCATTCAGCAAGTTGCTTAGATAACAAATGGTTTATTTGGTAAGCCAGACATGGATCCTAGATTTATACCAGCCCTAATAGATAGACAACATAGATGGTACATATATTTATGTGTAAAAAAGTAGTAATTACTTGTACCAGAAGCAAATATGCAGTTTGATAATAATAATAATATTTATAATACATAAGTTTGCATAATAATGTAATGTAATGGTTATATTCTTGATGTTTTTGGAGCCTACCCTGTGATAGAATCAGATGCTTCTATTATGCTTAGACTGTTGATTTATTAACTCTGCAGAAAGGAATATTATTTTGTCATCTACGATCAGATACCGATCTGATCGGGGCCGTCTGAAAATCAGCGCTGCAAGCTCGCGGCTTATACTGAGATGGTCCCTTCCACCACTTCATCATATAATCGAAGCTTTTCTTTTCTTTACTTTAATTTCCTGATTTTTTTTTTTGTTAGTTTGTTAATAAGTCACTTGTTTCATTTTTAATTGTAATTTATCATGTGTAAGTGTAGTGTTGTAGATATAAGTGTTGGAATAAATGTCTTTATACTTAATATAAAGTAACATCTTTTTCTCCTACATGAAACCAGTGAAAATAAAAAGTTAGACAACTTTTACATGGTCGAGTATCGTCGATGTTAATTAATAATTACTACTTCTGCATTTGATCGACTGTAACTGATTAAAGTTGTTTATTTTAACATAATTTATTTTTTATTTAATATGCAGGTAGAGGTAACATGCTGATATAAATATGGAAATATAGTTTATTGACATTGAATACATAGTATTATTTCATATCTCTTATTTTTAAAAATATCATTTTGATTCCTAACAATATCATAAATAGACGTGTACTTTGACTATGTACTGTGTGAGATGTAATTCAATACATACATAAACAGTCCCCAAGAGCTTTTTAGATTGCAATAAATGAAAATATATATAATATATTGATAAGAATTATTAATTAGTATAGACACTTGACAATATTCATTAACTTTTTTCCGGTGGATCGCATAGAACAAATCTTGCAGAGCTCATAAGCTTGCATAGCTGCCTGTGGACAGAGACAAAAAAGTGTATGGATATTGAAGACCAGTTTTATATCATATTTCTTATCATTGAAAATGTCCTTGTGGTTCCTAACAATATTATAAATGGACATGTTACTATCAAGTTATTTTTTCGATTAACAATACCAACTAGATAACGGGTTACGTACAAACTCATAGCTAAATACTGTCCGCGTTAATATAAACTTAAACAGCTACATTTGTTTCCTAAAGAAATGAGACAAAAAATTTAAATAGTTTTAAGTTCAACCTAATTACAACCATCGCATCCAGTAATAAAGTCACAAATCTTACGATCATTAGCCACAAAAAAGATCAAAGCTATACAATACTCCTATCACTTGGAAATGAAAAGAC